CCATGTTATCTAATTTCATATAGCTGTGTCAGGTCAAAACGCACACTTAAACAAACGACGAAGAAATAAAAACACGATATCGAATATATGGTTTGCTTCAAAGAATAGTAAGGACATTATAATAACAATGTCGTAGGAAAACGCGCAATACGTGACCCAGTCTAAAGCTACTTTGCGCGACCCGCGAGCCTCAACGTGCTTAGCGTCTTATTTATAAACAGAGATGTACTATTTACGTCATTATTCGCGCGTAATATCCGCCACTTGCTTATCTAGACGCGGTATTTTGTACAGTTCAAAGAAAGAAAGATGCTTTTGCGCACAGGAAGGAAAAAAGCCACGCGTAAAAGCCCGCATCACCATTTTTTTTGGTCTTAGCTAAGCCGAGCGGCCTAAAATGGCAGAGCCAGCAGATGTGCAATTAAGGTAGCACCTGATTGACTGATAAAGCGAACAAAGGCATTGATTGATTTGTGGGGTTTAATGTCCCAAAACCAAGATATGATTATGAGAGACGCCGTAGTGGAGGGCTCCGGAAATTTTGACCACCTGGGGTTCTTTAACGTGCGCCCAAACCTGAGCACACGGGCCTACAACATTTCCGCCTCCATCGGAACAACAAAGACAAGTGGCAAAGTTCTGATTTTACATAAATATCACAGTACAATCTTTATTTCACTCGTTTTATATACGACATATAAACACACACACAAAAGCAAAGGTCCAGGCGGTGGACGCGTAGTATATACAAACGATTTATCAACACGTGATAAATAAACAGCCAATCACGCCGCACGCATAAAACAGACACAACTAATGACATGAGGGTTTGAAGCTTTACCAAAAGAAGCAAAAGAAGGTTTGAAGCTTTACTAAAAGCGCCTCGCGTGCAGCACTTGCTGGCAACCGGAACAGTCGCGCGTCGTTGCCGCTGGCAGACGTTATTTCGGACCCATAATGAAACATTGTCAACGGGACACCAGAGTTTTGTGCTACGTCAGCTTTCCTCGCGAACAGCCCATGCATACGTTTTCTGCCGCCGGGAACCACCTTCAGCCGCGCATGTCGTGCAGCTGAAATAACAACGGGATGGAGTGCACGAGGAAAAAAAAAAACGGTCAAGTCGCCAGACGACGAGGAAAGAAGAATTTAGAGGAAGACAGAGAGTGCGCAAGAGCAAGCAGCAACTACCACCGACTTTAGAATCAGAGCTGAGACGCAAGCGTAAATTTCACAAAGCGAACGCGGAGGTTTGTTTGCAACGTTTGTTACGCCGTTGACGGAGCAGTGGGCCTGTCTACTTTGCGTCGATATGTATACATTAAATAAAGAAAATTACTCGATTGATACGTGGGATTTAGCGTCTCGAAACCACCATATGATTATGAGAGGCGCCGTAGTGGAGGGCTCCGGAAATTTCGACCACCTGGGGGTCTTTAACGTGCGCCCAAACCTGAGCACACGGGCCTACAACATTTCCGCCTCTATCGAAAAAACAAAATTACTTAGCAACATTTTGCGCTGTATTTTTGTACGTTTTTTTTTTCTTTGTCTAAAGCGAACTTCACAGAGGTACCTTTGGCACCACCACCACATTTTAGTTTTCTGGCTGCTCTATGTTGTAATGACGTATACGTAGTCGTATAAATAAAAGAAACAACTTAGCTTCGGAATCATTAACACATGAATGAACTCATATTTCGAGTGCTGAACGAAATAAGCAGCTAGAAGTGCTTGCTAGAAAACAATTATGTATACCCTCACCATAACGGCAACAAAACGAGAAGTTTCGCAAGAAGATAGGATAAACAAAAAAGGAGAAGAGGTAGCACGCTGGTATATAGACCGCTTCCGTGCGAACCCTATCATGACCTGTACTAAAGTGCTTATTTGGGCCGGTTGGTACATGGTCAACGAAGTGAAAAAACAGCGCGTAACACAGGACACAGGACAGAGAAGAGACGGACGAGGCGCTGACTTACAACCAAAATTTATTTCGTACAGGGGTGTATATATAGCACACGAAACTTGAAAAAAGAGGGAGAGAAGTCGAGTGACATGAAAGAGTAATTTTCGTTATGATTGTATGCGTATAACAAATAAACTGTGATTGCGCAATCATTCGCTTGTCAAATACGCCAATTCCCTGGTGAGGAGCGTTATCGAAGGTGCACTGACACACATATCGCCTTTCTTGATTATGCAGAATGCCTCATAAATCTCACGTGTCCTTTTATCTCTGTAGCGTCGAAGTATCTTGCATTTGTCAAACAATGCACGGCATCCACAAATGGAGCTGTGCGCAGCTAAGTGGCTGCCAACAGAACCCCGCATTAGATTGCGGTGTTCCCTGAGGCGGTCATTTATACAGCGGCCAGAATGCCCGATGTAACAGCGGCCGCAAGAGAGGGGAATTTCATAAATGGCACAAAAACAACATTCAACAAACTTGATTGCGTGTTTTTTATCACACACGCGAGGCCCTCTGTCCTCTCTGTTCACCTGATGGCACATACTAGAGAACTTATTTCTGGCTGAAAAAACAACTCTGATTCCAGCTTTTTGTGCTACCTTTTTTAAACAATGTGACACCTTATGCAAGTAAGGAATGACTGCTGTTCTTGAAAAAGAACTTTTTTCTTGACCACTAGTCGGTTCGGTTAGCTGTTTGATGTCTTTTAAGATACTTTCAGCTATGGAACACAGTATGTTATCCGGGTACCCTGCCTTGCGCAATCTGCGCACCTGTGACTCAAAACTAGTACACAATGTGTGATGGCAAGACCGCATCAGGGCCGCCTTTAGACAGGATTTTGCAATCGCTCGCTTTACAAGTTTTGAATGCGCAGAACTGTAGGGCAGCGAGGGGTGTGAACCTTTCAGTGTTCTTTTCAGCAAAGACGCACAAGCCGGAAGTTCCCTTCCGCGTCATTGTCTCGGAACAGGGCACATGGCAGCGCCTGGTGGGAAGGTACCTGCAGCGTTCCCTATCTGTCCTTCCTGTGGAAGACCCTTGCCTCATCAGAAAGCCTCAAATAGTATCCGAATTTCTTCAACAAGAGTGCCCTTCAGAAGTGAGCTTCTTTTCTGTGGACGTAAAAGACTTATACTATTCCCTGCCGTTGGACCAGGTGTGCGCAGAGGTGAGCGACTGCATAGACCGCTATGGGAACGTCAAATTTCAGGACTCGTGCGGAATTAGCGTCAGAAACTTTTTAGAAATGTTGACCTTTTATTTACGTTCTACATTTATAAAGCATGATGACAAACTTTATATTCAAAAAGAAGGTGTTTGCATAGGTTCCTGTCTCGCCCCGATCCTAAGTGACATTCTTTTAGCCAAATATGACAGATCTCTCATTAATTGCCTACAACTGACGAGCGCCGTGAAAGTGTTTAGATTTGTTGATGACTTCTTGATTTTGTACCGGTCCAACCACTCTGAAGCTCAGCAACGTGCTGATCAAATTGTTGAAGTGTTTCGCACTTGCTTGGGCTCACTGCAACTAACCACTGAATTCCCCATTGCTAACAAACTCCGGTTCCTTGACATTGAAGTTTTTTTGTCCGACCACGTGTGCTGGCAGTATGCCCCCCGCTCCAAAAAAAGTTTGCTACCCTACAGTTCTGCGCATTCAAAACTTGTAAAGCGAGCGATTGCAAAATCCTGTCTAAAGGCGGCCCTGATGCGGTCTTGCCATCACACATTGTGTACTAGTTTTGAGTCACAGGTGCGCAGATTGCGCAAGGCAGGGTACCCGGATAACATACTGTGTTCCATAGCTGAAAGTATCTTAAAAGACATCAAACAGCTAACCGAACCGACTAGTGGTCAAGAAAAAAGTTCTTTTTCAAGAACAGCAGTCATTCCTTACTTGCATAAGGTGTCACATTGTTTAAAAAAGGTAGCACAAAAAGCTGGAATCAGAGTTGTTTTTTCAGCCAGAAATAAGTTCTCTAGTATGTGCCATCAGGTGAACAGAGAGGACAGAGGGCCTCGCGTGTGTGATAAAAAACACGCAATCAAGTTTGTTGAATGTTGTTTTTGTGCCATTTATGAAATTCCCCTCTCTTGCGGCCGCTGTTACATCGGGCATTCTGGCCGCTGTATAAATGACCGCCTCAGGGAACACCGCAATCTAATGCGGGGTTCTGTTGGCAGCCACTTAGCTGCGCACAGCTCCATTTGTGGATGCCGTGCATTGTTTGACAAATGCAAGATACTTCGACGCTACAGAGATAAAAGGACACGTGAGATTTATGAGGCATTCTGCATAATCAAGAAAGGCGATATGTGTGTCAGTGCACCTTCGATAACGCTCCTCACCAGGGAATTGGCGTATTTGACAAGCGAATGATTGCGCAATCACAGTTTATTTGTTATACGCATACAATCATAACGAAAATTACTCTTTCATGTCACTCGACTTCTCTCCCTCTTTTTTCAAGTTTCGTGTGCTATATATACACCCCTGTACGAAATAAATTTTGGTTGTAAGTCAGCGCCTCGTCCGTCTCTTCTCTGTCCTGTGTCCTGTGTTACGCGCTGTTTTTTCACTTCGTTGACCTATCATGACGTAGATATAATCTTGGATACGCGACGACATCCGTCTTGCACCAACAGTATGCGCCAGCAATGTCCTGAGTGTCAAGTTATCGAGTCAGCGCAATGCGTCATTACAAGCACGCCAGCTTGCTTCACGAGATTAATTGATTGATAAGTGGGGTTTAACGTCCCGAAACCACCACATGGATATGAGAGACGCCGTAGAGGAGGGCTCCGGAAATTTCGACCACCTGTGGTTATTTAACGTGCACTGAAATCTGAGCTTCCGTTGCTCAATTTCCGCTTCAATCGGAAATGCAGCCGCCGCAGCCGGAATTCGATCCCGCGACCAGCAGCCGAGTACTAAGGCCACTAGACCACCACGGCGGGGCCTTGCTTCACGAGATGAACAGGGCACTGTACAGCAGATGAAATAATGACAATGAAGTTATTGTTAGGTCGCTTATTTTTAATTTGCTAGAATTGCGTTTTACAGAATCACATTAAGCCAGCGTTGACACTCCTATAGCAACATCAAGGGCGATGTTTCTGTCACGCATAACAGGTTGCCGCAAACGCTTTGTCGAGCCAAAATGTCGGCCCTGCGTACTATTACGGCACTGCAACTTACGTGCAATGATAAACGCTGTTATCACTTCAATTGATCCATATGAAAGTTGAGTTTTCGCTGCGTCATACGCAAGCTTCGAAATAAACCATCCATAAGCAGCACTGAAGGCGGGAGCACGCAACAAAGGCTAGGAACTCAAGCGACGACTAGCACCTACAGTGTGTCACCTTTGTCAAACTTTCGATGGGGCAGCACAGAAGACGTAATGGAGGAAGGAATACGGGACAGCGCTGTCCTGTGTTCCTTCTTGTCTAGTGTTTTCGTAATTCGCACTGCCACGTCAATGTGTTCGGCCAGTACCTTCTCGCAAACATTTTCTCTGTGAAACTGCGTTGCTTTAAGATCACTGAATAGAACGAAAAGACCGATGTACAGAGGCCCGTGATCAGATGTTTAGACACGCTAAACCCTAAAAAAAAAAAAGACACGTTAAACCCAGGAAAAAGTTGCGTTTACCAAAAAAAAAAAAAAAAAAAGGCTTGCTCAATAGTTGCTTTTTCAACTAAGGTTACCATCGCCGAGTAAAAACTATTTAGTAGTTATTGCAACAGGAGGTTTACAAGTCTATTTATATAGCTGCACATGCGTGAAATATACATCGCATGTAAGCGGGAAGGTTTACGCATCGAAAGAACGTAAGTCACTGCTGTATACGAAAGTGACTGCGCCTACGCGTTATTCCCGCCACGCAACACGCATACTCTAAATCACGCTTTTTAACCACAGCAAATGTTTGATGCCTAAGTCTGGCTGCACTTGTACAAGCTTCAAGGCAAATGAAATGTACACTTTATGGACAGATATATCCACTTTTAAGAACAAGGCGTCTCGTATGAAATAGACCAATGAGAATCGCCCCAATGATGGGCGCATGACCAGCACAGTGGTATAGGAACACGACATTGCCTACCAAGTAGTTTTCACTGCCGAGCTGCTATTCGGCAAGGGTATCTGCGTCACAGTTTGTTGATGTTGTGGGAGTCAACGAGCTCACGCAAAAGCTCCTCGAGGATGGCCACTACTTCGTCCTCGATGTCGAAGCTAAACGCACCACGGAAAAGCACCGAGAGCAGATCACTGTGTGCTTGAAACACGCGGAGGCCGATGAACCTGACGCGCATCTCAGCCGTGTCGCGGGCCTCGACAGACTGCAGCTCCAGCTGTGCCTTGCCCTCGTGGCTCAGTTCCACGACCAGCACAAGGGAGTCCACGTCGACGTACATTTCGGCCAGCTCGCTGCGCGAGTTGAACGTAACGTTGGCGTCGTAGCGGATGACCACCTCGCTGAGGAGCACGTCGGCGTGGATCACCGAAGGCCCGGAATCTTCGGCTGGCGTCAGGTTGACGGCTCGCACACCGGAGACGCTGAGCAGGGTCCCGTTGGAGAGAGAGGCGTCGCCGCTGAACGGGCCGATGCCGACGCGCAACGTGCGGTCCTGGAGTGCCACGTTCTGCAACGGCCTCGTCTCGAGCGCGGACAGGAGGTCGCGCACAGCGACCAGGCCTTCCGCTGCTGCATGCTGCGGCTTGGCAAGCACGCCCTGCTCGGCGCTCGTCAGGAAGCACAGCACAAGCAGCCTGGCAGCGCCGCTCATCGCCACCACCTGGGAAGGATCATCGTCGTCCCCTGAAGTGACCGAAAAGTGCGCTGCCTCCGATCACGCGCGCTGTGCATCTGCGGGGCCGAGCCGGCCAGCTGAAGCGGCGAAGGCTGGCCGACGCAACAAAAAAAAAAAAAAAAAAAAGAAAGAAAAAAAAAACAAGACGCGCTCCTCCTCGCGTCGCACCGCCCGGCACCAAGGTCGTTTGCTTTAGTCGGGAAAACACGGCCAAATAGGTGTTCTCTGACACGGCGTGCAATCATTGGGCATGCAGGGTCGCGCGTCTTAGGACACTTACCTGGCGAAACCTCTCGGCCGTCACTTTGAATGCTGCACGGGGCGGAAGACGACGGCCGGTCAGCTTAGTGCAGTGCAACCTGTTTCGGCCTGTCGTGCCGCGGCGACCACCACTGCGCGGCGGTAGACTCGTTCCTCTCCGGCCGCACTTGCGCGCAACGATGACAGGAGAGATAGTGGCGGGGAAAAATAAAGCTTGCCAATGGGCACGTACTGTGCGCTCCACCGAGCCTGCCCCCATCTTCCTCTTTTTCAATCACGACGGCCGGCGAAAAGGTGTTGGCAGTGCCCGCCTGACTACCGGGTGGGCGCGTGGTTTTCGCGCCTCCTCGACGGTGAAAAATAGGTTCGCCGATTCCTTGCCTACACGGCCTTCAGTAATCTCCACGAAGAAAAAAAATAAATGGCGTGTCTTATACCAGTGTCGAAACGCCACTTAGGTCCTGAGACAAAAATAATCTTTATTCTTATTTCTTACTTTTTGTGATGATTTTTTGGGTCTTATTAAATAAACGGACATTTTGAACGCAGAAGCGGTCATCAGAGCCGAATGTAACAGCGAGGCAGGTTTGTGAACGCGAGCCTGGTTTGTTTATGACAATTAAAGGGACAAATATGACAAGAAAGAGAAGTTATACGGATAGAGCTGGTTTGTGAGCGCCAGTTTCAATTACGCGCAAAAGAAAGCTTCAGCGAGGGGCCAAATTCAGATTTACCTATACGAATGAACACACGTAAAACGTTAAAATCTCTTTATGAGCGAACCGCTGGAACACATTTTTTAATATATTGTTTTGCACTTGATTTAGAAAATCACGTTCTAGGGATTTTAGAATGTTGTTATAAGGTTTGCAATATTTTACTAATACTTTCGGAGATCGCTTACCTTGAAAAAAAAAAACACACAAAACAAAGAAGTTTGCAAATTAACAATTATGTACCGAAAGACATTCTACATGTGCAAACGGCATCCATTAGAAGAATTTAAAGCTGACAAACTTGTACGAGTTTCCGCTGCTTACGTAAATTCGTTGCAGTACAGTGAAGTCACGCGCACAAATGAGCGGCATCTTTCTTAAGGCAGGCCTATACTGTTCAAACATTTCCCTCGCTCAGTCATGGAGATGTAAACTTGTCAGTTTACTCTTTGAAGACTTCTTTCAATAATAACAATTGAAAGTGGTGGCTTGAATGAAAAACAAAAAATCTACACACAATCGCTACACTTTCGTCAACTTCTAAATGTAACAAACCTAATCAAACTTGATGCAGATGGCGAGAGAGACAATTCCCTTCTTCCCATAAGTTTATGCAGGGGCCTCCAAACACATGTGCAATTCGTTTGCGACGGCATTTTTTCACTACTGTGCGCATCGCGTTTTCGGTGACCGCCCTCGACGAAGACACTTTCACGTGATGCAGTGTGCGCGAACGTTAGTAAAGTTACGTTATGCAACATTGCATTGTAGCACTATTGCGCAACATTATATATATGTAACAAAGCACGCAGATATGGAAAACCAGGTAATGACAGGGTCGCGAAAGTAGCGATCAGTGTGACTTGTAACGACGGCGCGAAGCTGGGCCTCCAACATTCAGGCGGTGTACGACGCGACGAAACACTTGCACGCGCAACCTTTAGCAAGTTTCTACTACACGGGCTTCGCAACTTCATTCCACTGCACAGCGATTATTCACTGACGTGTTCTATTGAAAAACGCTAACGCAGCTTGCTGTGCGAGTCGAGTCTTCGAGACTTTCTAAATACAGAAGGCAGCAACGCAAGTAACTCGCCATTCCTGAAATATATTGCTACTACTACTACTACTACTACTACTACTACTACTACTACTACTACTACTACTACTACTACTACTACTACTACTAACAACAACAACAATAACAACAAGAACAATGATAATAATAATATTGATAATAATTACAACACCGTCCAAGTTCATGGGGACGAATTTGGGAATTTACCTTTAGAGAGAAACTGCACCTCGCCATGTCCGTGTTAAACAGTATCAGTAGTCTCCATTACCACCTTTTCAACCAAGACATATAGCCCTTATCACTCAGATAAGTCATTCTCCGCATTCATGCCGTATCAGTGTGGACGATAGCTGCGGAGTGAGAACAGGTGCGGAAACGCAAGGGGGAACGCAAATGGCCAGACAGCGTTTCGCCGCAAAGGTGATAAGCCCTCCACGGTGTAAATGAATTTTGTGACTGCCGATCTGATAACAGATATATCGGTGGATGTCACTAAGCCACAGCAGAGAATGGGGGCCTCAGTGCTATCAGTACATGCATCAGCAAAGATAGTTAATGACGCATGAGCCTTCGCTATCTTTTAGTAATGCGCCAAAACAATAAAAGAAATAATAAACACTGACACGGTCCTCTAAATTCAAATGAAATCGTACTTGGGGATCTTACGTGTCAGAATTGGGATAGCAATAGTGGTGAGGGACTGCGAATGTTTTTCAACGCTCACCTGAATCTTTATACATGGCCCTAATGAATTTCGCCTCCATCGAACGGTGTTGCCGGCAATCAAAGCCGCTAGACAGTATGGTATCAGACGCCGTACAATGCACGTTCCACGTCGGCCTGTGGTTATCGAATCAGTAGGTCAAAGCGCACTACAACTGATATATGAGTACTTATTGCCAGCCCCTTTGACCGCGGAACTTTTAATTAATCGTGGACATTTGTCATAAGCGCCGACATTGTCGATTGTGCCGACGCTTGGCGAGGGTTCGTGCTATCGAAGGTCGTGCACACGTTGACGAGATAACTTAGGCAGTGGAGAAACGGAGATGCATGCGCAGTACCCTCTTGTGCAGACCATGAAGTCAGGTAGTTACACACACAAAAAAAAACTAATGTGAAAAAAACTCCTCGTCTTTTTTTTTTAGAGCTGTACGAGCACTCGTGAAATTCAGCAAACTCTCGACACTCGTAGGCAGTCGAATGTGCCCGCATAATACATACATGTAGCCAACTCTGCACATTCTGACCTTCAATGCACCTGTCCCATAAATAAAGCTAAATTCTTATATTTTGAATTGAAAGATAATTACAAGAGTATACTATGCTCAAGCAGCCATTTACAAAATGCGATGCTTTCTTGTACTTTTTTTCCTCAACCATGGCAACAATTGAACGTTCCTATATCAGCTCTAAGCTGGAACTCTGTATATGTCTCTCACGGTAGCAGTTCATATTAAGACGGTAGGCTCTTGTCTGTTCGTTCTCGGATTTGTTCTCAGGATCGCTTCGCAGTTCCCTGCGGAATCTCCTAATTAAAGATCGGACAGCTGGCGTTTCGGTTATCTCAATGCAAAAAAAAAAAATCTTCCTGGTTTCCTTGCGTCTCCTGACCATTATTTTTCCCGACCACTCAGTCTGCTTGCAAGGTGTCTGCTTGCAAGGTGTCTGCTTGCAAGGTGTATAGTGCGTTGGGCAACGGGACGACAGCATGTGGTCAAGCGATGGCCTCTGAAATTTTATTCCTTTTCGCCCCGCCCACACCACTGCCTGTGCCTCGCTCAATCTGAATGAATAAATGGTTTGTGCATAGCTTGGCGGAATTACCCAGTTAATCGCTGCTAAGCTAAGGGCCACGCTGCCTTACGTGGCTTCACTACAAGGTAAGATATAAGTTTGAGAAACATAAAAAAATAATATATTTTTCAAAAAGTGCTAATATTATGTCCACGGCAAGGCGGAGGCATCTCCTAATTCCCTCAATTATACGCTTCCCTTTGTGAGCGGCCCTTTGTGCACCCAATTTTTAAAATCTCATTCCCCCATTTAGCCCTTTGCCGTTCTAGGCTGCGTTTCCCATCCATTGAGATCCATTTAGTCACCCTCATTGAATATCTGTTATCTGTTCTTCGCAGAGCTATTTAATATAAGAAAATATGAACGTAAAGGACAGCAAGAAATTTGTAAAGATAAACGCAAAAAATGTAATGGCAAATGTACTGGGCGTGTGCAAAACATTCATTACGAGGCTTTCCGTGACATATGCAGACAAAATAAAAAGTACAAATCAGCAGATAGACCAACAAAGAAAAAAATACTCAGAAAGGAAGGCATGAGATAGTAATTTCCCCCCTCTACGAGCCTTTTCCTTATAGCCAGTACGCACTTCATGTCTTTGTTTACTCAAGAGATAAATGTGCGTAGTGCCGAGTATTAGAAGGAAAGCCTGCTTTTCTTTAAACAAAGCTGTATTAATCAACTTGCAACGCTTTGAATATGCGATATTTTATAAACAGCTTAATGTGAATGGGTCAGGTGACCATGAACGGTGATTGTAAGAGTGGCACAGAATTGGAGGAAAACGAGAGAACAGAGCAAAGTGGGTCCGGGAACAGGCGGGGGTTAAGGAGTCAAAATCAAGGAGAGGAGGCAGACATGGCCTGTAGCAAGATAACCACTGAACATTAAAAGAAACTGACTGGATCTCCCCCCCCCCCCCCCAAAAGGTGGAGGAGACAAAAATAGTAGTATACTTGCTGTAGAGCTAGCTGGCACGTGTCTGGAATTAACTTCACGCCATATTCACTCAGACTCACGGTCCGGACTCAGACACACGGTCCGATCTCAGTCTGAGTGAGTCAACTCACAAGGAAGTTTGTCGACCTAAAGTTACTGGCACCTCATATTCTACAATCCTGTGGACGTCTCCTCTCCCCCCCTCCCCACACACACTCCATATCAGGTCTCGCATTGATGCATTATTTTGTTATTTTTAACATACTACAGACCATAGGTGGCAATAAAGGTCTTGCAGGAAAGGAGCACATATAATGTACGAAACAAATATTCTGGAAGAGCTAAAGCGAGAAATACAAGACGCATAACAACAATACGTTTGAAAGATAATACAGTTCACACAATTCACACAACGATTCACCCAATAATGTTAGAACCCAATCTTTCAAACAGCCCTATACACAGAAAACCCTTTCAATGTGGCAATACCAAATTGCGGAGAATAGATGGTTGGTTAAACGAGTCAAGTTTTGTTACGAGTCTACGAGAGCGTACTTTGCCCCTCTTCCCACTCATGGCCGTCAGATAATGCTGCATATACTCACTCTGCTCCAAGTGCTGTGCTGTGGATGGCTCAGGCTTCACTGTTTTCGAAAGCTCAGAATTCCTTGTTGCCACTGATGAGGCAACGCACCACCAGCTGTTTGTTGCCCACGCGTAGGCCTCCAGTGCGCCATATGGAGGAGGCCGGAGTACACTCTGCAATGGCAAGAGTGAAGTCGTTTGTTTTTTTGTGTGACGTATCACCGGGAACACTACTCATTTTCATCTTTTCTTTGTGAAGAGACAATGAGCGAAAGAACCGCTTCGCTGAAAAACGATCTGCTTTCCCGTCTAGTTTCTTTTTTTCTATCACCATGGTCTTTGTCAAGCAAAGTTCCCGGACAAATGTATCGAATCAGCTTCCTTGTCTCACGAAAGGATGTGGTTACATATAGTCTCGCAATATATGTATTTTTTGCTTTAGTAAAAAATGAAATGCATATATTACGAGACTGTCAAGCATTGAATTACATAAATATACTTTTTGATGGTACCAAATCGTAGGAATAATCCAAACTAACGCTGTATGTGGTAGACCGTTAAGCGATGCGGACCCTCGGAGGGCTTTTGAAAATAGCTTCGTTCATGAAGAACTACATATATTGCAACATTCGCGCTCTCGAGAAACGCTGCACAAATGTATTGCAGCCAGCCCCGAACCGCAGTCTCGCGGTGATGTCCAGAATGTCCATTTGCTCAGTGCATCGCACTTAGACGTTGGAATTTTCTCAACTCGCATTTGCGTTACCCTATCGACTTCTGCTCGGACTTTCCTGCTGTGTATTAACATCATTCTGCAACCATCGTTTAGGCATTGCTCTCGTTAGCCATTGCGGTGGATAATAGAACACACATTGCTTTTCGACTCTCAATGACATTAGGGGCTTGCCGCAGCCGTGTCGGGAGCCCCTGTATTCGGGCCCAGTGCGAGCGATTTTCTAAACCACGTCGCCTGCGGCGCATACATCGGTCACCTGACAAGCTCTCTTTCGATGTGGTCGTGCCAGGTACATGTATCAGTAGCATCAACACTGCGCCTTCATACCCATCCATAATAATTGTGCAGCATTCTTCCATAAGTTCACTAAAGAGGAGGCAGCAGCGGTGAGGCAAGCATCGATGAGTGGAAAAATCACACTGATCGAGAAAAAATTGACTCTACAACTATACAGTTACTTGCATTGTGATATAAATTACAGAGGACGCTTTATAGTGGACGAGGTTACAGGGTAATCCCACATTGTACGGAATTTTGAGGTGACATTGTAGTTTTGAAACATTCATTCCTATCTCCTAGTGCACAAAACGGAAACAAAAGTGCATTTTTAGCACGAGTTTGGTGGCAGATATCTCAACGCCCGTGCCACTTTATATTTAGCGCCAAGTCTTGACAGTTTCATCATCATCAGCCTGACTACGTCCACTGCAGGACAAAGGCCTCTCCTATGTTCCGCCAATTAACCCGGTCCTGTGCTTGCTGCTGCCAATTTATACCCGCAAACTTCTTAATCTTATCTGCCCACCTAACCTTCTGTCTCCCCCTAACCCGCTTGCCTTCTCTGGGAATTCAGTTAGTTACCCGAGTGGAATTCTTCGATTGTAATATATGGGGCGCAGATAGTTACACAGTTAATCAGTAAGCTTGAGTTCTACATTTGTGGACGTTCTGAAATCTTGACAGTTTGACTGCAATGAATCGTTTTCTCCCTTTTTATAATTGTAACCTGCCGAAATACACCTGCAGTATTACTAGGATTAACTTAGCAGACCCACAACAAGTCATGCGAAGTTTTGTCAAATGTATTCGTCGCACGAAATATTCAGTCAATATAAAATATCACGCATCTCTAATAGTTCCATGCTCGCAGCCCGACACGAAGAAAACCGGGCCGATCTCACTCG